TAATTTAAATAATAATTATAATTTGAGTAAAACTATTTATGTGAATAACACAACTGATTTCGAGAGCACTTTTCCGCAGTCACGGTTGGATCTTATGAGGAGAGGCTCAGACGTGGTAATTTTAGAAAAATCTGAAACTTATGGTACGTGAAGTGCATCACTTACAATTAGACATTATTTTGGCCAAGCAGTAAGACGCACTTTTCAGCTAAATCGTCAATTAAATGTTCGGACTAACAACTCAATTATTAGCGCTGAGGCTGGAATAGAGATGTCATATTGATCTTCCTAATCAATCAATGCTTATAATTCAGTATTATAAGCATCTTATAATACTGAAAAGAACTTATTGCAAAAAATATTACTTTAGCCAGGATTTGAACCTAGGACTTCCCGACTTTCCGGGGCGGGCATCTTAACCAAATATTTCTATTCCAGCCTCAGCTAATAATTGTGTTTCCGAACATTTAATCGGCGCACAGTTTAACGGCTGTATACATGGATATCAGAAAAATAATTGTTTTCATTTTGAAATTTTCATATTTAAAAATTAATGTTTCAAAAAATTGTATATATATTTAACATAATTGTGTGTTTATAAAATTAAATAATAACAAATTAACAATAAAATAAATAATCATTTAAAAGTAATTTAAACAAAATGAATTGTTTAATGCTATTTTTTAAATTCTTCTCTATTCTTAATATTACTGTTTACTTAATATTAGTAATATTACTATTTGTTATTACCTTCGCAATTCGCAAATGCATGATAGACGTTACTCACATTACCAATAAGTGGTAATGTCTTTGGTCCTGGTAAAGTATCTAATCTTCTAATAAACAACACTTTTTTACAACAGTTCCAAAAGAAGTAAATTATAAAAACAGTTGTCAAATAAATCAATACGTTTTCGAACATTATTTTACTAAGCAATACAAGATAGTTGGACAGTTGGACCGCTTATGTATGGTTAACGTCGACCGTGATTATGTGTGCACGAGGAACTGGTCACAAAGAATGCGATACGAATAGCGCTGTTTTCTTAAACACTTTATATACTTACCTTTCGACTCTAAGTGTGTCAAGTAAAACAAGATTATTATTTCTTGAATATTTTTGAATTAATATGCATGTATCGATCGGTGTATCTATACTGTGTTCTACAGTTATTACTGACTACTGTTGCGTAATGCATCAAGAAAATAATCATGCCGACATCATGCTGCGTAAAAATTTGCAAGAGAATAAGCAGGATAATGTAAGATAAATTTACGAAATAGTGCACCTGTTATTTATTTTTATAAAAATAAATCAAAAGCTAAACTGCAATTTTTTATTTTTTTATTATCATTATGATACCGTATTTACAATTTGTCATTGTCAGTATAACCATAGTAAGTCCACTTCGTGTCGATACCATGGACGTAGGAATATAAGGGACGGAGAACAAAGTCGTAACACAGTATAACCAGTAGGTCCACTCAGCGAAAAACTGACTCTTCGCGCAGGTATCGCCGCGCAACTTTTGTTTTGGGTTGGATCCAATGAAATGTAAGATGATAGGAACGTACTGTCGTGGACACATCGGTTGCGACACTTTTTTTTACAGGTTTTTAATATATATTTAATATACATAATATATACTTTATAGATAACTAATATTTTGCAAATGCGAACCATGATGTACTATCTTTAGTCTAGAGACAGTATAACACCAATCGTGGTCCGCATTTGCAAAATATTAGTGCGTTTTGAAACCTATAAAAAAGAAAGTGTCGCAACCGATGTGTCCATGACTGTACATACATATGTGCAGACAATTTATAAGCAAATACATCAGAAATTTTCTTTAGTGATCACTCCTACGAATAATTGTTACTAATGAAACGTTTTATTTGATTCACACATTGAATTTATTGATTTACTGTATCGAATCCATATTATTACTTATCTGTTTTATTACTTGTGAGGCACTTTTCTCAATTCGATCCTGGATTTAACATGGTGGATGCTCACGTGATCTGAAAAAGGAGATCAAAGGCGCCGACATGAAGTGGACCTACTGGTTATACTGTGTTCATAACTTAGGCGAGGTGAGTGAAGCTAAAAATGCGGGGGGGGGGGGGAAATGGTGCCTACTTTTTATTGTTTACGACTCTGCGCATGCGCAGTTCACTCTTATACATATATGTACATATACAGGGTGTCTAATAATAACCGCCCAAAATCTCGTGGGTTGGTAGAGCAGATTAAACTGAATGGAAAAGTCCTCTACCATTTTGCAAAATTCGCAATCGTTAACGAGATATTAATTTTTGAAGATTGGCAAATAAGCGCGTATCCGTCTGGCCCACCGCTGAATGCAGGTGCACGGCGGGATACGGCAGATATACGGTGGGATAGAGCAGATTAAACTGAGTGGAAAAGTCCTCTATTATTTTGCAAAATTCGCAATCGTTAACGAGATATTAATTTTTGAAGATTGGCAAATAAGCGCGTATCCGTCTGGCCCACCGCTGAATGCAGGCGCACGGCGGGATACGGCCGCTTCACCGCTGGCTGTTGCAGGGGGTCCAAACTCCCATTGTTAAGAAAGGAGACAATTATCAGCGCCACCATGGTCTGGACCCGGAGATGGTGAAATAAAATAGATCACGCGATGAGAGTGGGGACTCATATGCCATATTGAAATTATATACGTGCGCGAACATCCTAGATAAATCGCGAAATAATAATAAGTCATTTTTGGTCGTTTTCAATGTGAGTTTTCATCATAGACATATATATGTATATAAACTAAACATTCTGTCTACAGCGTGAAATGATGCGGAATTGCAGGAATTACTCTTATTTCATCCTTACCGATGTCAACCATTTTGCTGTAAAGTAAAATAAGATAATTTCTTGCAAACGCGCTATTTTTCGGCTTCATTTCCTCCACAGTAAAAGATAGGAATGTTTAATCTATTTATATATGGCTATTGGTTCTCACTTTGCCACACTTTTGTATGCTTTGCTGAAGACAAGATCACAAGAAGGTTAGAGCGTTAAGGTAGAGAGCAGAAGGCGAGACAATGGTGGGGGAACCACAGTGCCCTGTCACCGGTCTCGGTAATGGTGAACTAATCGAACTTCCGTCACCACTAAAATCCAAGGAGTTTGGACCCCCTGGGCTGTTGCTAGGTGCGCGAAGATAAACGTCATAAACAACGATGGTTATGGCGGCTACGCACGAGCGGCGCTACTACGAATAATACATTTTTTTATACGTTATACATATTAATATGTAAAGGATGTGTTGTAATAAAAAAGGCGTGGGTCAATCGTAAATCAAAACGGAAAGCCACGCCGCTCGTGCGTAGCCGCCGTAGCCATCGTCGTTTATCTCCGTGCGCCTAGCAACGGCCAGCGGTGGGCCAGACGGATACGCGCGATTATGATACGATTTTTTTCCAAATGGAGGTGTTTCTAGGAGAAAGTAATCTTCATTTTTTTAAACGAAATCATGCACTGTTGGACATTCATGATTCGTAGCCCTTTCCTAGACAATTTCAGTCACGGATTGAGCAAAATGCGTCAAAGGGACCGAAAACGGCGATTTCATTATTCTAAAAATGGTGACGTGATAGTCAACTTTTGCCAATGGATTCGTGTTCAGCGAGCAAAAAATACGTCGAAAATTATTATTCATACTCGTAGCAAAAGAAAAAATTAAATTTTATCGAACAGTGTTACATGAGAAAAACCACTATATATTTAAATTATATTTATATCGGAAATAAGAAATCATATCAATGAACCAAAATGTATTTTAAAGCTAAAAGTTGATGCTTTCATAGAGCGTTAACGAAATTAAACAAAAAAAATTAACTGCCGGTGCTGCAACGTCTTGAAAACTCTCAAAGTAGTCATTTCATGCTTCTTTGGGGCCATTTTTCTCAAAATTGTGACGTGTTAGCCAACTTTTGCCAACATATTTGTTTTCAATAGGCAAAAATAGTTCGAAAATGATTATTCACACTCGTGAAACAAAATCATGTCTCACAGTATTATTAAAATTTATACATCGATAAAATAACAGTTTTTTAGTTTATAGAAATATGATTGTAATCATAAATAGAAATAAACTGTTTTGTTAAGAATTAATAGACGCAATGTAAAAAAATATAGTCTTCAAAGATTATTGGTTTTATTCTTACATAGGTTACATATGTTACAAACTATGTAAATTAACATTATAAACTAAAAAGTAATAAATCGAATTCCACCACAATATAATATATATATGCAGAATATTATAATAAAATAATAGTCTTAAATATTTAATATATTTCTATACTATTTTATTGGATCGTTTTTCAATTTTGACTTTGAAAGGCTCAGCAGGAGTTAATACAATGTCAAATGTCAATTTTATTTTATCTAATTCAATACTTTTATTAACTTTGAATTCATACGTTCGTATCAGTGTTGCTAGCATGACTTTTACACATCTCATTGCATATTTTATACCTGCAATTTGATAATTATAAATTAGTTCTATATATTTCTATATAGGTAAATAAAATAATCAATTTACATCATGATACTTTGAAACTTATTTATGCTTACCTATACAGTTCCTTGGTCCAACGCTAAACGGAAAATAATAAGACGCTTGAAAATCTTTTATTCTTTCTGGGAGAAATCTATCAGGGTCAAACACCAATGGGTTTGACCAATACTTTTCGTCTCGGTGCATTTTTATAATCGGTATAAAAATATCTGCACCTTTTGGTATCATAACTTCCCCTAAAACGTGTACTTTTACATTAAAAAATTATTACAACAAAAATATATAATAAAAATAAATAGTACAATCCGCCATTTATTATATGTATAATCAGATACACATACCCATACATATAATTGACACAATATTGCAAACAAGAAATTGAAATAGTCTTATATTTTCTTTCTTCATTATACATATTTTAGTAAAATAATATCATCTTTTTAAAAAATTTATAACTGCGCTTAAATGTTTTTGTTATAAAAAATGTAAATATTTTTATATCAAAAATATTCAAGTAATTTCTTTTACATTTGATATTTATTTAGTATAAAATCAAGTTAAAGTTGATAAAGATTGACATTTTAATATCTACGTCTCTGAATCTCAACTTTCTCATTTATGAAAAAATGAAAAAAATTTTTATAAAAATTTATAATACATATATGTATATCTGCTTGTTTATAAAAAGTGAGCAAACCTATTTTTAAATCTTCCATTACTTGTCGTCCAATTATTGGAATAGTAGGGAACATTCTTAGCGTTTCCTTGATAACTCGGTCCAAATAATGCATATTTTGTAAATCGTGGTATTTAATTGGTGCAGATTTTACAGTTTCAGTGCCATAAATTTCCAACATTTCTTCATATATTTTTTCCTTTTATAATATTAATTGAAATATTCATTATATAAATGTGTGCAAAATGATACATTATTATAAATTTTTTTTATCAATTGCGATTGACATTTGATATTTATTTTTGTTAATCATAATCGAAGCGTTTATAATGATCTCAATCTAGATATTTGTATAATTTTAATAAAATTTTTACTTTAAATAAAATAATGTTGCACATATTGTGACATGTATTTAAAGAACATGGAATGTATACATGGTATAACTTAAATATCGCTAATTACATAGCGTTATTTCTTGTAAAAAAATTGAGTTGAAAATTTTTGAACTATTACAATAATTACTACTTCGTACGTTGAGCAATGTAGAAAAAAAATAGTTCATGACTTCTCGTCTCAATTTTTATA